AATATTAAAAACAATATATAAAATCTCCGCACACACACACACACACACACACACACGATGGGGTCAAGGGGGGTCTTCGGCCCCCTCCCGCACCCACCCCGCCGGTAGGCTGGGTGGACCTTGCTTTACAATGTAGCATGTACTTTGTAAGTTGTAAAAAGAGGTATATCTGTGTATCACAATCAAATATAAAGAGAATACTCGATTGTGATTAGTCAATTTCTTAAGGCTTAGGGCTTAAATCACATATTGTGGACCGGCACTAAGGCTTAGGGCTTAAATCACCTATTGTAGACCGGCACTTAATCGGGTTTAATAACATCCGTAGTTGTGAAACTGGCCAATCACAGCTATTCCTCTGAAGAATGGAATGACTGTGATTGGCCAGCGTTAGAACTACGGATGTTATTAAACCTGATTAGGGGTGACGTGTAAACGTAGTCAATGAAGCAATCACAGCGCCCTTTTTCTGTATAGACTACTACCATAAAACACTTTCATTAGGCTGCCATTCAGCTGATGGTTTTTAGTTAAAATTGACTCGAGTTGGCTAGTTATTAGAGTAAATTTATTTTATTCCCTTTTGTTAATTGTCATTATCAACATGGCAGATTACCCGCCCTCAGAAATTGTTGATATGATTGGTATTTATTATGCCGCTGATAATAATGCTAGAGAAGCAGCTCGTCAATATCGAGATAAACAGCTATTCCTCTGAAGAATGGAATGACTGTGATTGGGCAGCCTTCGAACTACGGATGTTATTAAACCCGATTAGGGGTGACGTGTAAACGTAGTCTAAGATAGATCGACTTTCGCATCTAGATAGATGTCATGGTGGCTTCGTTTAGACGTTTAATAAACATCTCATTTTCTGACGTTTTTTTGACGTCAAAAATAAGACCAATTACAGTGTTAATATATAATAACATATTAATGTGTAATATATATAGATAAATCTAAATAATTTAATTCATGAAATTAAAGATTTTATTTATACGGAAGTTAACTTCTAATTTTATCTTAAGTAGACAATAAGGAATGACTTTCATTTATTCGGACGCTTTATGTCCGATCGGGCATTATCTGCCCGATTTTATAAAAATCAGTTTAATATCCGAATTTTTCTGTATCGTATCAGAAATTAAACTGATGTAAATAATTGTTATTAGTCGCTTTTTGCAGGCTTTATATACACTTCATGACAAAAACTTGAATACGAGTATATAGAATAAATAGTGCGCTGCATAGCGGCAACCGAATGAACTATAAACCCGCGGCAGTCAATCACTAAGCGGTTTTTCCGTAAAAGTATAATGTTCATTAAGGACTAATTAATACCGGTTATTATACATAACTATACGCTCAGCAAGTGGCAAAACAGAACAGACATGCAATATGCTATCTCTTTCTCTCATCAGATATAGCCATAAACATTGTCAATCTCCAAACTCATATATGATATATTGACAAAAATTTGACCTTGACGATATGAAGTGAATACTAGTGTATGACCACAAATACGTTTTATGAGATTATTTTTCCAACAAGAGAATTTTTCGGTTTTTATTATGATATTACATACATATTGCGTTAACATTTATTTAGAGGTTTATTAGATGTCTATTAGATGTCGAGAAATGATTTGCAGCTCAAAGAGTGTTTCATAAACAATACACTGCTATTGTGTGAATATTATGTTTTAACAGTGTCTAAAAAATTCAATGACACAAAATTACATGGCATCTAATTCATATATTTCTAGATGTTGTTTTAGACTAGATGGCTCCGACATCTAATAGACGGTATATCCGATCTCGCGTTTCTCCTTGGGTTATCTCAAATTATTACTGCTTTATGACAGTTATAAAAAACTATATTATTATTTATTGCCATATATCCTGGAACGAACAAAATATACATGCAAATCAGAAACATTTATATCATGTAGTGTACTTTTTTGACAAAATTTTAACATTTAACAATTTGTACCATACTCATTTATTTTTTTTTAAAGCGAATAGAAATAAATTTATGGTTTTTAGTATTTGTCAGTATTTGTCACGCTCGCTGGAAGGTTAGATCTCTATGATCAAATCGAGCCGAACCTCATAAACACGCGAGATACGAGCGGGGCGGTAGCGGCTCCATAGGATTTTCATCTTTTTACGTAGAATGGAGGAGATCGACAATATAATAATTCACTCGTTGCGACAAATAGGCTGGTAAGTGTCAATTCCCGAGCAGTTCGACTCGCATAGACAGATGTTCGTTGTTCTTTCCAATGGGCGGTGTTTTTGCACACTCCTCGTAATTTAATGTCGTACACGTGAGAGCTCGTCTATGATCACCTCATCTAAAATGGTCAAATTGCATATTATCAGAAACGAAAAATTTTTAAACGTAATTCACAAAAGGATTATTGTGGCAACAAATTTTATAAAAATATCTTTTCCTTTTTTTTTGAAGATGAAACGAATGTTTTTTTTTTTATGGTTCGGAAAAAGAAATTCTCACAACTTAAGTATATCAAGAATACTCTTATCTGATTACAAATTCTATAATCTTTTCGTTTTTCTCACTAGAAATATAAATTTTATTTTCAAGTGACATTGAAGAGAGTGTAATAAACCTAAGTGGCTTTAATACTGAACTAGTTGTTGAAGCAACAGTGAGATGCTTAGAAGCGATAAGGCCAGGTTTAGGATTATCTACTGTACTACCTGTAAACATGGCAGCACGTTTTCGACTGGGTGCTACTCTTGCACAAACATGCACGGTAAATATTTTTCTTTTAATAAACTTTCAATTTGGATATAACATGATTTATTTATCTGCTTTTACTGATTTCCATCAATTAATTAAAATTTTAGGAACTTGGATACAGAGGTGACATTGGTTATCAAACATTCCTATATAATTCGGAAGCAGATTTACGGAGGGTATTCATGTTTCTCATTGAAAAACTGCCAAAGGAAAGTGAGAAAACTGTAAACGAATCCGTCAGCAAAGTTGCTTTATTAGAAAAATCAGTAGCATCTGCAATATCGCAAGGACTTTCAATACCATGGCTACCATATTATTGTCATAAAAAGGGCATCAGGAACAGAGGAAGAGCGAGTACCCCTTATGTATCTGTAAATATCGAAGTACTGGTACCAAATATGGAGGATGGTAATGTAATATCAATATAAGTTGAATTATTTTTGTTTTTGCTAATGTGTCAAGAAACAATATCATTGATATATGAGTAAAGTATTATCATTAATTGCAGATTACAAAGACTATTACATGCGCTATTTACAACCAGTGCCTGATCAAATGCAAAATATTTCATGCTTTTTATCTTCTATGATATCGTATAATGCAAGAGCACTTAATAGTTCTTCGATAGATATTATGGAGCGTATAAGTTGGCTTAATAGCCAACAGTCTGAAAAAATAACTCATTCAAGTGGACATAATATTGTTAATGAGCTTAGCAAGTTCTCGTTAGAGAACAAGATACAAACTTCAGCGGTAAGTTTATCTTTTATATAACAACTTATACAGCAGAATATCACGCAAATTCAATATGATCCTTAAACTTTCAGGATTCTCAAGTGGAACCAGGGTTTGCAATACATTCAGTGCTTTCAGATCAGGAAACATTAGAAAACAAAGCAAAACAGGAAGTTGAAATAGAAAACATGAAAGCAGAGTGCGAAAATCTTAGAATAAATATAGAGGAAATGCAAAACGAGATTAAAAAGTTAACTACTAAATTAGCACATGCGACGATCACTGGTCAAAATGAAGAAAAGGAATTAAAAATGAATGAGGAACAAAAAAAGATTAAAGCAAGAGCATATGAATTGCTTCAAGATGGACCAGAGAATATAAAGAAATTGGAATGTGCAATCGAGATTAGCACAAACAAATTGATTAATTTAGCAAATCAATGGGAAAAGCACAGAGTACCCTTAATCATGAAGTATAGACAAGAAAGGGAAAAACATTCCACAAAAGCTGTAAGTAATACAAAATTAGCAAGTTTAAGGTAAAAAAAAACATTTTTATTTTATAAACGCATAGATCTTTTTTATAGAATGCAAGCCAAAAGAAGTTAGATGAAATAAAATTATTGAAAGAAAAGGAGAAAGAACTTCAAGAGGAATGTCGAAATAAGGATCAACAGCATTCACAGCTGGTCGCGGAAGTTCAAAAACTTCCAAAGGAAGTGAATAGATCTGCATACACTCAACGAATCTTAGAAATAATAAATAATGTTAGAAAGCAGAGAGATGAAATAAGCAAAGTTCTGGCGGACACTCGTGAGATTCAGAAAGAAATTAATATGCTTACTGGCAGATTAGAGAGATCCTTTACCGTTGTCGATGAACTAATATTCAGAGACGCAAGAACAAACGAAGCTTCGAGAAAAGCGTACAAACTATTAGCGATGTTACACTCGGATTGCAACGAACTCGTAAGTTTAGTCGAAGAAACGGGCGCGACAATACGAGAAATCAGGGATTTGGAAGAACAGGTAAAATGACAATAATAGAAAAATGTAGATTTATGTAGCGCAAAAATTCTCTATGTTTTTATGTAACATTTATTCAGATTGATTCCGAATCCGCTAAGAATGTCGGTGCTAATTTGGAGAGGATAACTGCCGATTTGAAACAAATGAAACAAGAAACCGCAGCATTAACGGCACAATTACAGAGTAAAGCTTCGTGATTGTTATGTATAGTGTGGTCGCATTTTACATATTGTAATATTCAGGACCAGATAAGAATATATCTAACACAGGTACAAAAGTTCATTTTTCACATTAATTGTATATGATAGATACCAGAATCATATATAAATGATTTGATTTTTTTCTTCGCAACATTATATGAATGAAATAGACATTATTTTGCTCCTTTACAGAATATAAATGAATACGATCAAAAGCATCCTCTATGTTTTTATGTAACATTTATTCAGATTGATTCCGAATCCGCTAAGAATGTCGGTGCTAATTTGGAGAGGATAACTGCCGATTTGAAACAAATGAAACAAGAAACCGCAGCATTAACGGCACAATTACAGAGTAAAGCTTCGTGATTGTTATGTATAGTGTGGTCGCATTTTACATATTGTAATATTCAGGACCAGATAAGAATATATCTAACACAGGTACAAAAGTTCATTTTTCACATTAATTGTATATGATAGATACCAGAATCATATATAAATGATTTGATTTTTTTCTTCGCAACATTATATGAATGAAATAGACATTATTTTGCTCCTTTACAGAATATAAATGAATACGATCAAAAGCATCGAAGACCAAACATTTTTTAGCTGTATAGCTGGCAAGATATAACGCGATATTGCCAGCAAGAATCTTTGCGAATCTAAGTTGGCTGCTGAAAAACGTGCCTTGGCCTGGAATAGTCAGGCGCTCGCCTCGGGCCAAGTGTATAATGACACGTTAACATCAATGCTCAAAAGATTCATTTGTTACAAAGCCTAATAATTTTTTAGCATCAAGTTCAACTTTCGTATTTCATGCAGCTTGGAAAAGATCTGATTACAGCTGTAAATAAAATAAATGCTGAAACACATCAGTTTTGAGTAAAGAACATGTACAAAATATATAAGATATGTACAAATAATGGTAAAGTCAATTTTTAATATTTTATACACATATTCTCCTTGTAAAAATTATTTTTATAAAGTAAGTGGTATATGTGTGACACTTACACATATAATACTGCAATATCAATATGTTAAAAAATAACAGTTCTGTTGGTTTTTTCGTTTTAATCCTCTGTACATGTATTATGTTCTATTTTCTTATTTTATAACACACACTTTTCTTAATTTCTATCTTTAATATCTGGTGGTACGTAAGATTCTGCAGTAATCAGTGCTCTTAATTTCTTTTCGCTTTTGTGCATTTTATGTATACGTTCATCCTCTTTGCGTTCTTTTTCCTGTATCCTTTCTATTTGTAATTCGAGAGCTTCCTCATTGTCAAAGAACGTCAAAAGTTGCTCTCTCTCTTTCAATTCCTTCTTTATTTTCTCTATATTTGCTACTCTTCTTTCTGTTTCTATTGCTTTTATTTGTGTTTGTAATATTGAAGCCCTTATATGTTCCCAGTCGGAATAAGCCTAAAAAAAATCGAAATAATTAACATGCCAAGTATTGAATAATTGATTGAATTGAAAAGAAGTTTCCTTCATAGATATTAAATACCTGACACTGCTTAGAAATATCTTTCTCAGCTTCCTCCTTTACTGTGGCTCTAATAAGATTCTCCATTGTTTCATTTAAATTTTCTTTAAGGTTTTGTTTCTCCTTTAAGAGGGATAATGGAGCCTCCACAAGTTTGAACTTTTCAAAATCTTGATCTTGAAGATTGCTATTGTCTTTCGATATTAATTCAAATATTTCTTCATAAACTATTTTGTCTTGTATCATCTCCAGCCATTCCTTTATCAACTTAAACACATCGTCATATTTTTTATATAATATTAAACCTCTCAGTTGACAAGTTCTTCCTAGAGCATCCATCCTATGCTTTCCTTGAAAACTCAGAGTCTTGCCGACGAGATCTCTTGGATCAGTAAGATCAAAGTGATCATCGAAGTAAGGGTTTTTTAAGTACTTTACACGCACCTTTATTTCCTCCTTGGATGTATCTTGTGGAATTTCGGTTTTCTTCCAATCGTCAGGATTCTCCAGATACTTATGACATGCGTAAATGCAGAATGCGTTTGTGATAGGATGACCCGTATCTTCCTGCAACATGACCAAGGTCGCAATCTTTGCGGCGGAGGCATAATCTTTTCTCTTTACGAAATGGTCCATGAGCATGTTGTAGTCGAAATAATCGGGGAAGATGCCGTAATTGAGTCTATCGTTCAGCACCTCGTGCAGTTCCTGAATAAAATCATGCTGCAAGAAATATCGTATCGCGGCGTGATGCGTAGAGTCGAGAATGTTGGTCGCTTCCGTGGATTGTCTGAGATTGTGCAGAATCTTCATCACCTCATCGATATACGAATCATCGGTGACGCTATTCACGAAGATGTCAACATCGACGGCGCTCACCTTGCCCGCACTCCCGTATTTCTGTTCCAGCTCGGCGAACATCGTTATCGGCTCGATCTTCTGCAATAACGGCGATTCCAATCGACGACTCCACGCCTCCTCGCAACGATACGCCTCCGATAGAAATGATCTTCTCTGCGTTACGTTTTTAAGTCCACTACAAACGCGACAGAGCCTCTGACTAAATCTGAGCGTTTTCAACATTTTGTTTATTTGTTATTATCCCTCACACTGCGTGATCATAACGTTATATCATTATGGTAGGTACTTTCTTTTTATTAATTGAGGTTATGTTATACGGAACACCGGGTGTCAGTATAGCCAACCTGACGATAATAAATTTTACTGTCAGTATAACACCGCGATTTTGTCCAGTCATAATGCACGAATAACTAGATATATGATGCGTGGAAAAACTTATTTACCTTTCTTAAATTTTTTCACGTATTGATTAAAAATTATAAAATAGTATATATTAAACGTATAGATTAAAACCTAAAAATCAATATAAATTTAAAGTATATTAACTATTATAAAATATATTGGTTATTATAAAATATAAAACGATATATCATATTAATGTAGTTGCATATAATATATAAGAAAATCAAATATGGTAAGCCTCTCCAGACGGATTTGTACAGTCGCATGAACATATGCATAAGAAAATTGATTAGTCCATTTTTTTATGCATTTTCTTATGGACCAATCAATTTCCTTATGCATATATGTTTATGCGACTATGCAAATCCATCTTGATAGGATCGAAGGCAAATGGCGCGCGCTTGTAATTTGTAATGTTCTAGTCTATTATAAATGTTTTTTGTGGCTTTGTGCGGTGTCACATAACCTATTTTGCTGAAATTGTTTACGTAGTAGTATCATAGTATACACAAATTTTCGTATCTCTCATGATATTTTCTGTATCTAAAGGTGCATTTTATAATGTTCGCGTTAATGAAAGAAGTGATTTTCTGGAGCTTCGATGATAATATAAGCATAGAAGACACGGATTTTGGTGCATTCAAGTAAAGAAATATCATCTGTTATTAATAACAATTTCTATATTTTTTGCCATAAGTGCATCTATTGCACTATTGCAATAATTCGTGTGTAATTTTTTTTGTAATAATTTGTAATTTTTTTATAGGTACCATGACAAACGAATTGATGGCACATATGAAGAAGGTAAAAGATCTTACTGCCAAGAGCGTGGTATGATTTACGTTCCAGAAAACAAAAAGGGAAACAAATTGAAATATTCTATTAAATATTTGGAGGTATAATAATCCATTCAATGTCTTAGATAAAGTTTATAGAGAATATATGCTATAGAATTTTTATTATTATATACAGGATCAACTCAAAGATAATTCTGTAATTTATTGTCAATGGTATAATGATTCTGTTGTACAATTAATGCTCAGCAATGGTTTATTAGTACAAATACAAGTTTGCCTCTTCAGTGGTGATATACAAGAAATTCATTTTGATAAATATCTTGTAGGG